TGAAAGGAAAGGCAGAGTACTGCTGTTGAAACACTGCAGCAACTGCAGTGCTTCTTTTAAGAGATGATGAATGCCCACAGGGTAGAGAGTACCGAAGCTGTAATTAATAACCCACTTGTTGGATTTCATTGCCACCATAAGTGGCAGCTAGTCTTAACTGATTTGAAGAGATTTTAGTGCAATTATTGTATTGTTTGCTCTAGTGAAATGTGGGGTAGTGCTGCTGCTTGAATGCCTTTCATTTCTGCATTCAAAATTGTTCATGTTCCAGCAGTAACATGACTGTTTTTAAGGTGTCTAGGATGTTTCTGTCTACAGTGCAATGCAGTCTCTGCTATCTACCTAGATCTACTCCCATGAAGATAGGGCCCAAAGGTAGAATCATGCCACTATCTGCTTTTCAGAGTGGTGAGGTACTGTCTGTTTGCAGTGGGCATCTTTGCTGAAGTGCATGGTTAACAAAATGCTTCCCAGGGTGGCGGGATTTGTTGTGCTTTGTTTCCAGGAATAGCATGCAGCCCAATAGTCCTGGGGAGGAACTGACAAGAGAACAAAGCCATGCTGGTTTCTCTTCAGCACATGGTTTAAAAATATGGTTATACAAAATAGGGGTTTGGCAACTCATTATTGTAATTAGTTTCATAAAAAAATGGTTCCAGTGAGGAGCTTAACTTTAATTCATATGTTCCTGACACATGCTTGGCACTTACGGGTAGTTTTTTATGCTGTAAATCACTGGGAATGAGGTCTTGCAATCCAACTTTGTGAGATGGGGGTTCTTTAGCCATCATACTGGAATTGTGAATTGTAGTCTAGCACAGCTCATGAGTAGTGGTTTTCATCTATGTGGGTGTGGGATCAGGTCCTTAAATAACATAGGCTGGCATAAATTCAAAATTTTATACCAAAGGCTCATACAACTTCTCTGGGGAACCAGAGTTTAGACCTCAGTTAAAGGAAGGCACAGTTTTGCAGAAGGTGGGACAGCTCCCCCCACCACATGACACAAGGGGGAAACAGATGACTGGCCTCTCTGATATAGTAACTGCAGCATCAACAGAAACTTGTCAGTTTTGTTCATTTCGTTTTCAGATGTATTCTTTTTGCATCCTGGGGACAAAAAGAGGATTTCTGTACTTTTTTTTTTTTTTTTTTTTTTCCCTGGGGATCATCAGGATTACAATTTCAGTGCATGTGCTATTGCTACTGGCTGTGGTTCATACCAGCATTTTTCTGCCTTTTCATATTTTTTTCTGTATGAGGACCTTTTCCCTCCACCAGTTTTGTGCTGAATGCAAATTTGGAGGTAGCTTGTTGCATTATGCATTTAGCTTTCAAAGCAGAAACTGCATGTCTGTGAAATAATTTTGAAAATGTACTTTGAGAAGTGAGAGTGATATGATTGCAGGCGGAGATTTCAAAGATTATATTTTGAAGAAGGTCCTTGTGGGTTTAATAAATGTATATTGTTGGTCATTGACTTCTAGTTGATGTACTGGGAAAAGATGGATTTGATTAGGAAAGACTACATGTATAATCTTTTCTTTAAATGTATCAAACTAGAACTTCCATGCTTAATAAAGGAATTAGTTGTGTACAGAACTGTAATTCAAACTACCCTTCAACAGAATTAAACACGTTTTTGTAAAGAACTATCAAATTGTTTGCAATGAGTAACATGATTATGAAATGGAGGCTAAATATATCTTGCCTTTATTGTTCCACTCACTGGTCAAGATTTTGCCCTATTCAAAGAATATCATTACTATTTTGATAAGATTTTGCCCATTATTTCTCAAAAAGTAAAATGCTGTATTGCTACTGATATTTGAGCAGTATAGAGAATTTAACTCGTAAATGCTTTTTTTACTTGTATTGCTATGGATATCCTTTCCCTTGTTATTTTAGATTTTCTGAAATAAAGATTTTAATTAAAATTATGCTTGTTCTAGTATTTCAAAAGCATTTGTGAAACTTTTACGTAACTGAGGCACCCCATATTGCAAGCGCTATCAGATAGATCCTGTATTTTGCAGAGAAGCTCAGGAACTTGCTGAACAAACTGTATGAAGTTGATTATAAGTTATGTTGGAATATGAAGTAAATATAGGTGTACTTTATAGGCAGTAGATAATCATGTGTGTGAGCATATGACAGGTGTAGTTCTGAGTTAATGGGGGGGGTGGGTGTCACCCTGTCATGCCTGATGGGTAGTTTCCTGTGATGTTGAAGGGATCACTATGAATTTTTTAATACAAATGTAGTGTGATTTCTTGTTCTTTTTTCATTTAATTGAAGTTGTTTATTCCACCTCCAAGATGCACTCTGAACACTGCTATATAAACACCCTCTTTACCCCTTGTTAACTTTTCTATCTGAGAATGGAGGGATTAATTATATGTACCAGATCTGTTTCCATTGCTACTTCACTGTATTTTTCACTTCACTTGCAGATTATATTCAGTATGTATTTAAATGTGAACAAGTAGAACAGTTGAAAGTGTTTATGGTATTGTTTTGTCAAAACCAGCTTCCCATAATCGTAGCCTCTCAGGATTTTTGCCTGGCACAATGTGTCTATTCATGATCCTAGCTGCTTAAAAGTGCATATACCCAATATCCATAGCCTTAAGTAATGCAACTAATTCTCCCATTTATAGTTTGAAATTGTTCAGTCTTCTTGTTCTTGCTTTTTGGAACTAATCAGTGATACTGTCCTGAGGTGTCTTTAAGGTCTAGGTGCACACTCTGCTACTGTTTATTCTCATAATTCAGTCGGTGTAGTTACTTCTTTAAATGACTGCTTACACTGTTGAGAAATCAGGATTTTAGGTGTTCAGATGAAATGTATCAGTACAGCATCACACTGAGGAAATGGGGCCTGCATCTAAGCTGAGTTATATCTTTTTCCTCCTTTTCATTTATTCTAATTGATTGAATGCATGTTCATTTGTAATACTTACTGAATATTTGTAGAAATATTTTAATAGCTAAAGCCTATATGAAATAATTACAAAGCTTTTTTTAATAGGAAGTGTCTTAAGTTTTGGAAAGAGTAAAAAATGAGAGAGAAGATGGTGTGTAAGACATACCATCTTTTCAGATGAGTCTCATGATGGTATGAGACAGCAAACTCACTTCCACTCTGAACCCATTTTGCCTCAGGTTTGTCCACCCTAACCTCCTTCAGCTCTTATCATCTCAAGTTAGTAGGACCGTTCAGTTTCCATGCTTGTTATAGGCCAAGTCCTTTTAGCTTTTGGTTCGATGTCAAAAGTGGTGATATCTTTACGCTCCACATCCCTTTTCACAAGAAGCTCAGTTGCATCCCTTCAGAGGTGATGGCAGTTTTGGTCACTGTCATTAGAGAATAGTTAGGGGAACTTGAAAAGATGAGCTTGGCTGAAGATGTGCAAGATGGCTGTTTAGTGTACTGCTGTTCCCTGGAACTGTACAAGTTTCTTCTTCTCCTCATCCCAGCACAAACATACTGAGGTGCTTGGTCCTAGGAAGAAAAGGTTTTCTGAGCTATAAATACAGACTGAGCAACTCTGATATAGAAGACTGTACAACATAGAGTATTTTAGTTAAGAGTAGGAGCCAAATTACAGTATGTGTCCAGTCCGGAGCAATACAGAAAGATAACTGGCTATATATAGTATAGTAGTATAATTACACAGTAACATAACAATAATGTAAAATGGAGAATGATTTTAGGAAAGGATTATAAAAATATGGGTTTAATGATGACCATGTGCATGTTTCTGGCAGAATATTCTGTTGCAAGGCAGCTTTTAAGTGAGAAATTGCTTCCCTCCTCTCTACCCTGCTTAACCAGTGGACTTTCCCTCCCTGTTAACTCCTAGAATTTCCACAGCTCATGGTGTATCTACTGTTATCAGGGTGCCACTACCTGATGATTTCTCTTGCTGCTTCAGGTTAAAGGCAGCACACTGCAAGCAATACTGTTAAAATAAACCCATGTTGTACTCAAATGACCAGCTAGGCTTTTTTTTTTTTTTTGAACAGGATGCTAAAGAGCATAGTATATGCCAAAATGTTTTCTTTGTACAGAATGTAAGCCCATTTCAGAGCAAGTCCAGCACTAGAAATAAGACACTTGCATTTTCTAATTATGCTGTTTTGCACACAGTTGATCTGGGATTATATTGATAGTCCTATAAAACCAGCACATACTTCAGATACTGGGTACATATCTCAAATCAGCAGATACCTTCCTGTGGTGTCAAGGATTTGCTAGTACGTTGTTCATGAGCTTGATTCTCCTGAACTGGCTGAGGGATGGAGGTAACAGGGGAAAGAGAATCTGGCAGTAACTGCTAGAGTATGTTAGTGCTGAAGTTTTCAGGCATGGTTCTTGTAATTCATTGTGATCTAACTTACTGTCAAAAGTCCTCAGAGTTTTCCTCACCAGATCTAAGTGGAATATGTGTGCAAGGCCTACTTCTCAGTATATTATGTGTATCTGAAGAAGACATAAGGGGCTTCTTTGATTATCCTGTATCATAGATAGAATTCAGAGCAATTACTTGCATTTTAGTGTAGTACAGAGCAGATAAGGGGAAAGAAAGGATTCCATAGTCGTTTTGCATAGAGGATCTACCTGCACATGACAGGAAACATGCAGACTCATTGGTCATCAGGATGGTTAAAAATCTTTCCAGTAACAGAATATACACAATTCATACTTTATGTGGTTTATACTACTTTGAATGTTACTGCTTTATTGAAGAAATACTCAAGGAATTTGTGAGCTTTTTAACATGCATCTGAATGTTTGTCTGTGATGATCATCTTAAATTTCACATATCACTACAGAAAGGAAATCGTATATTACACTTCTGCTTCTGTTTTATCAATTCTAGTAATTTTCTATTTATCTTTGGCATTATTGTTTTAAAACAGTGTTTTTACAATACGCAACAGAGTAGTATTTTTTTTTTTAATAATGTAAACATGGTGAATCTTTTTTCTTGCAGAAGTTTTGATGTTGGGCTGCATCGCTTTTTGGTCAGGTAAGCTAATACTTCCTTTGAATTGCTAATACTTACTTTGAATTCTGTTATAAGAAGAGATGGCCATGTTAACTCAATGCTACTTAGTATTTTCTATGCAAGATCCTCTTTTGTCTTCCACTTAGTTAAAAATTTCACAGTATATATTTGGCTTGGATATCTACCCAATGTCACTCTCTAAGGAACCTCTTCATGTGTCCTTCAGGAAAACCTTGACTCAGGAAACTTCAGTGGGTAGTGTTCCACTTATTCCTGAGGAAATCTTAATTTTGCTTATACTGAAGAAAACCTTTTTAAAGTTGTTTTGGTAACTCAAGTACCTTCATATTTTCTAGTAAGGGCTTGAATTTTATAGAAAATTGTGACACTGGAGGCGAGTTTTATTTTCTCAATGGAAAACTTGATTGATTTTGATGCACAGGATGGACTATGATTGATTTTGATGCACAGGATGGACTATGTTCTGAAAATGAATAAATAATAATTGTGTGTTTGCTGACATTTAGAGAAATGCAGTGATTAAAGCAGGGGCAGGGCACTTCAGGAGAAGGGAGGTTAATGTATATGAATGCTACACTGAGGAGAACTGGTTTTACTGTTTGGAGTTCTTTTGCGTGAGCAAAGTCACAGGTGTTCACTGAGAATGTGTGTTTGCATTAATTTTTAATAACAAACCTATTGTTATGTATTTACCTTTACAAAGAAGTGCAATGTGTACTATGTAAGGTGAAGTTTGCAATGGTCTTCAGACCCTTGGAGAATTCATTCTATCAGTCCACTAAAATGTTGCAGTGTCCATCTGTGAAGAACTTTACAATGAACCCAGTATGCGAGCCAGAGCGTGCTGGTTGGGTCCCACCATAAGTATCAGGTGATGTTAGGCTTCCTTTGATTTGGCCTTGCTACTGAACTCGGAATTTTATGCTACTTGGTCATATTTCCTGGATGAAGAAATATGGTTAAGCCTTCACACTCATGAGTCCTTGTGTCCTTAATGCAGAGGTTTTTGGCACTGAATCACAGATGCAGAGAGCTCTAACAGGTTGATCGCTCCTGATAACTTTACGTTCTTCTGGTCACTCACTCGAAGCATTTGTTTTCTGATGTTTTCAGAACCCTGCTAACAGCCCTTGACTGTAGCTAGTGAAAGAAGCATACAGCTCCAGACAGGTTTATAAATGCCTAGAAGCATTTCTCTACCTTAGGCTCAGCATCACTTTTTAAGTGTTCTTTTCACTTCGTCCTCTGAATTATCTAAGATACCCCTTTCAGATTCAGTTTCCCCAAATTATCAGCACAGTATCTAAATGTAGGAACACTGGTAGTTCTCTGTCTAAGGTCTGGGTGCCAGTCATACAAAGGGTATATCTTAAAGAGAAGAATAGTAGGTAGTGTCATATAGAACACCATGCTTTTGTGGTTTAAAGTAAGTACGAAAACCATGGAAGATATAAGCTCACACAAAGCCTGCATCACAGGGAAAATCAGGTTTGTTTTAAGTTTGCACAAACACCCATCCTGACATCTCATTATCTTTGAGCAGTAGGCTTTGTAACATTAGGGTTATTTTATGTATTTCTTTGCATGAAACATGATAGCTTTTAACAGACAGCTTGCTTCATTAAAGCTATAGTGTCAGTATTGCTGAAGATACATGTATTTCAGTTTGTAGATACAGTTTTTAGACTATTGAATGTATTTAAGTTCAGGTATCAGTTCTACAAAATCAGTTGCATCTGTATTTTGACTAGCAGATTGTTTTTCTGAAATAGAAATCAACATATGAAGAAAGGGTTTAAAAATATGTTAGTGTCATAAAGGGTTTATGGTGCACATGGGAATGCAGACAACTACTTAACCAAGAATAAAATCATGGTAAGAATTGATGTCCTAAGTTTGAGCCCCTGGTAATGCTTCAGCCACAAAATATGCTTTCACTTGCATCATACAAAGAATGTAATAAGACAATACTCCCTTATACTGCACTGTTTTACATCCTGTGGAGATGCTGTACTGGAGTTGTATGCTTGTGCAATCCTTGGACTGCAGATAGGCGTTGAATTTAAATGAATTGAATGTTGTCTTTGACTAATGTGTCATTTTTTCAAAGTCAACTGTGGGTTCTATATAGCATGATGTTCTAACCTTAGCTTTAATACTTCATTCTCAGTCTGTCACCTACCCCTCTTGAGGAGCCATCAGATACTTTCTCTGTACTGCTAAGGAGGAAATATTGTTCCCTTCTGTTTTGCTTGTATGAGTTTTGTTTGGGTTTCCTTAACTAAAAAAATGTTCTCCTGCTTAGTAGATAACTTTTGGACTATGAAACAGAGGACTTGCTGTTGCATCTCTGCTGTTGGTCTGCCATATGACCTTTAGAAAGCTTATTGCATTTGGTTTTGCTTATTTAGACAGTTCCTGCTCCTGAGAACCTGCAGTTCTTCTGTGTTCATATAGTGTCTGTCGTAAGTGGCCCTCTTCACAGTTTGGGTTTCTATTAGTGCAATATAGGTGGGGGAGGGAAAGAAACCCAAACAGATCAGTTTTTCAGGAGGTGTTGAAAATCTATGAATTGGGATTTTAAATGTTTCAGATACTACTACTATATTGTTTTAAATGTAAGGATGCCACCCCACAGTGTAACAGGGAATCCAATATGACACTTCCAAATATAAAGTGCAGGGCCAACAAAACTAAAACCAGTCTCTGCTAAAAGGACAATCTGTGCCTAATTACTTATTAAAATGCTGATTGAAGACTAGGACTGTGCACAGCCTGGCGTAAATGGTCAGTGGCTTGCCCAAGTAAAGCATGACATGAAGTATGGCAGAGAATTACAGCTACACAGCTTCTTCCACATTAGGGAAAAGTAAATACAAATTTGTATCCATCTCTCTAGCTGTGGCTTGAACTATGCTTCTGATACTGTTTTTAAGATAGCTCAGAAAGGTTTAAAAATCCCATCTTTTTAAATACATTTGTTATTTAAGGGTGTTATAGTGAAATAGCTATTATGTGGTGATTACTGGCTTGGGCTGAACTGGACTGTAGGACAAGATTTCTAATCACTTGCATGCTGGAATATGGTAGTATCATGGAGCTACTATTTGTGAAATTAAAGTGCAGATGGGTACATTGGGGTCAGGACCTTGAACATTTGTTAGCTACACCACAGTGGGGATCCTGGAAATTCATAGAGGAAGGATCAGTAATTTCATGATGAAAACTAGGTTTTGATACTATCCATTAAAAATGTAATATACTTGGAAGGTAATTTGTCTGCTGTTTTCACACAATGATATAAAAGAAAGTATTTGTTATTACTTTAAGGATCAGCAAAATTATTAATCAGTGTTATTTAAATCACATCAGTACTATATAAACATAGTAATATTTTTTCATTGTGACTACAGGAAAAACAACCTTGTTTATCCCAAATCTAAGCATTCTCAGAAAGAAGCAATGGGTATATTTTCAGAGTTCAATGCATAAAAATAGTGTTTAGGTAGCAGTTTAGGGAGGAAAGAGAAAGAGAGGTTGCCTGGTGCTGTTTGCTCACTGAAGCTATTTTATCCAGGGATTTCATCCAGTGCTGAGAACAGGGCACTGGATGAAATAGAATTGTTGAACATATGAGAATATTTACTGTGCTGGTGCCAAACAGTGCTTCCTTTAGGGCAACACTGATGAGGACAGTGGAGAAGAATAACAGTTCCTGGAGGCATGATCCTTTTGAAAAATATCCATGCTTTTAGCACTGCTGTGCCTTTGAGAAAGTGTGAATCATACTCATTTCAGTACAGATCTGGCTTTGAAAAGAGCTGCAGGATCAGTGTCTCCCAAAGGTGTCCATCTGTTAGCAGTGCTCACAGCTCACCCTGTGGTTTGCAATTACTTTAGCTTGTTTAGAGTTGCAGGTTGTTTAGGTTTAGCTTATTACCTGGTGCAAAGGTTCTCCAAATACGAAACCTGAAAATCATGCCCTTTTCTAGTTTTCTCAGGTGAAAAGAGGCATAGGTTAGCTCTGGGATCAAAATTTAGTATGTGTTGCTGCCTCTGATTTTTTTTTTTTTTTTTAGTTAGAAACAGGACACCTTCATATAAGGGCAGAATGGTCCCATGGCAAAAGAGGGATTATGGTTCTAAATAAGGTACACCATGAAATGATAAGAGAGAAGTCTGTTCATCTGCTGGCTCAACTCCTGGTTTTATTCTCTGGGGAATCCCATAGAATCCCACATATTTCCATGCTACCCAAAAGAATAACAGAATAATGATGTTGATTAACTATCTGATAACTGGTTTAAGTAAACTTTAAAGGAAGTCAAGTTTTTTTTCTTATTGTTCTACTCTATTCAGGAAGGTGCCACTGAGATCAGTTGCTGTGAGGTCTAACTTTAAAGTGCAGACGTTTCCTTGCAAAAGATATCACAACTCTTTACTGAGATGGTGAGAAGTCACAAAGTGTAGCCCCTATGGGAAGTATAGACTCACTGAAAAGCTCAACAGTATTCAGGCCATCCCAAGCTGAAGAGATCTATGCCCCTGCTTAAAAAACCAAGCATTCTTGCTATCATGGTTTCTGTTTAAAAAACCCCAACAAACCCAACCAAAAAACAAAAGCCCAATAAAGCAAAAAACCACACACACCTGGGAGCCATTGGCCTGTCAGCCTTGCACAGCCTCTGAAAAGCAGCTAGGCTTTGATGAGAAACAGGCCTTGGGAAAAAGATAAGAAACTGCTGAGTTGTGCCAAGGTGACAGGGAAAAACAACAGACAATTGCAACACTAAACTGTGGAAAGGTACTGAAGTGTGGAAAGTTACTGCTGCGTGAACAAGAAGTTGATTGGTCTGCACAGCGCGTGTTAGAGTGGTCTTATGCTGATAGGAGAAAAGGTTGATAATGGTCTAAATGTTGATTTGCTAATTATGAAGAGCTTTAACGAGAACATAAGTATGTACTATTAGAAAAATTCCTTGTTATAACTCTGAGTTGTG